GGCCGACATCAACGGGCTGCGCAGGGTGCTGGACGAGCTGACCCTGGCCAGGACCGACCTGGAGATGCAGATCGAGGGCCTGAAGGAGGAGCTGGCCTACCTGAAGAAGAACCACGAGGAGGTGGGGGCGGCTGGGCCTTCTGTTCACCCTCAGTGTGACCCTGGGTGATGCTGAGGGCTCCTAGGGATCCAGCGGGGGACAGTGGGGACCCGGTCTATCTGCTCCTTGACGCTGATCCCTGAAAATCCGTGCCCTTTGCCCTTGGGGGGTACAGGAAGGGGGGGTCACCTGGCCCAGGCCCTACAGGTGCGGGCCCTGGCATGCCCACTTCTGCCCCTTTCCAGGAAGTCAGTGCCCTGCGGAGCCAGGTGGGTGGCCAGGTCAGTGTGGAGGTGGATTCCGCCCCAGGCACCGACCTCGCCAAGATCCTGAGTGACATGAGGAGCCAATACGAGGTCATGGCCGAGAAGAACAGGAAGGACGCCGAGGCCTGGTTCACCAGCCGGGTACGAAGGGCAAGCGGCACCCCGGGGTGGGGGTGGCGGGGAGAAGGCTTGGTGTTGCCCCCCCCCACACACACACAAAGCCCTGACTGCGCTCATCCTTTCCTCTCCCCTCTGGTCCCAGTCTGAGGAGCTGACCCGGGAGGTCGCTGGCCACACCGAGCAGCTCGAGGTCAGCAGGACGGAGGTCACAGACCTGCGGCGCACGCTGCAGGGGCTGGAGATCGAGCTGCAGTCGCAGCTGAGCATGGTGCGTTGCCCCCGCCCCCGGGACGTTCGCAGCTGTGGGCAGCCTGGCGGGTGGCCGTGCCCAAGCCCTCTCTGGGCATCTCGCTCTGCTGAGTCACGGTGCCCTGCCCTCCTCCCTGCCTCACCACAGAAAGCCGCCCTGGAGGGCACCCTGGCGGAGACCGAGGCGCGGTTCGGAGCCCAGCTGGCGCAGATCCAGGCTCTGATCAGCAGCATCGAGGCCCAGCTGAGCGACGTGCGTGCGGATACCGAGCGCCAGAACCTGGAGTACCAGCAGCTCATGGGCATCAAGTCGCGGCTGGAGCAGGAGATCGCCACCTACCGCAGCCTGCTCGAGGGCCAGGACGCCCACTACAACAACCTGCCCGGCCCCAAGGCCGTCTGAGTGGCCAGCTGAGCGGGTGGTGCCTGGGCACCGGGCCCCTGTCCTCCTGTAGAAAGCTGTTCCTGGGCATCCAGAAGGACGCGCCTTTGACCTTGCCCTGCCCAGCTTCCCAATAAAACTTGATGGCCCAAGGAGGAAAGATTTGGTTTATTGCAACCCGTGGAGAGGTGGGTGGGTCAGGGCTCCGCCTTGAGGTTTATCTGAACCGAATTCCACCCTGTCCCAGGAAAGGCAAGGGAGGGCCCTCCACCCCTTTGCCCTAGTGACAATTCCTGTTGGCATGACAAGCCTTCATTTATTTAACCTGTGAAAGAAGCACCAATTGTGTCCATTTTACAGACAGGCAAACCGAGGTTTAGGGAGGTGAAGTGGTTTGGTAACTGCTCTAATACATGGCAAAGGTGAGGTTTGAAATGGATCCAGGTTCAGTTCTCTTTTGCTTGTACTTCCCTGTGTGTGTGTGTGTGTGTGTGTGTGTGTGTAATGGTGCATACTCACATGCTATTTAATCAAAACCCGAAAAGGTGGCATGGGCTGTATTTTATACATTAGGAAACACGCTCAGAGAGGTTAAGTACTTGTTCCAGGCTGGGTAATGATCCCTAGGTGCAGGCAGAGCAAGAAGCCCAGCTCGCGGGGTCACCCCTTCCCGGGTGGTCCCCTAAAGTTTCCACCTGTGCCCTGGGATCCCCGGGAGTGGCTCCTGCTGGCGCGGCTCTCCTAGCCAGCTATGGTTGCCTGCGCTAACACCAAAACCCCTGGCACCCGCCAGCCCTTAGCTGGGCCCCAAGCCAGGAAAGGGACCCAGCTGTGACCCGGGCCTCCCCCACAAGCCTCCTCTTGGCCTGGCCTGGCTTGTCTGGGCCTCCCTGGGCAGGCAAAAGAATAAAGTCCCAGCTTCCTGGCACTGCGGGCCCTTGGGGTAATAAGAGGCTGCCATAAGGCAGGGCCCCTCAGCAGGGATGCAGGGTGCCCTCACCAATCTCCCTGTGACCTGGGGTGGGGGTGGGGCGCACACCTGCAGTCCCCGCACTCTGGGAGGCTGAGGCAGGATGGCAAGTTCAGACCCAGCCTGGCTAATTTAGGGAGACCCTATCTCAAAATAAAAAATACAAGAAGAGCAGGGAGGTAGGTGGGGCCAAGGCCCTGGGTTCAGTCCTCAGCGTGGCAAAAAGTATAAAACAGGAGTTTCCCTGTGACAGCTCTGCCAGGGCCCTGTGCCGGCTCTTGTCACCTCACGCTGGTCTGAAGGGGGCACCATTTCCTCCACAGCCCTGTGGGTCCCGGCAGGAGCCTTGTCCGGCTCCAAATCTCAGGCTGGTCGCAGCCGGGGGACCCAGAGCCCAGTTCTTGCCCGGCCCCTTCATCCACTTGCGTTCGGCAAGGCGTGGGGCCGGTGGCAGAGCCTGGCTGCGGCCCGGCCGGGACACCCAGGGCTCCTTGTCCCTGCCGTGAAAGCCTCCCTTGTCACAGCGAAACCCTCCCCGGGCCCCGGGCACTGGAATGTGCCTGGGGCGGGGTCTGGGCCCCACAGGTGGCGAGGCGGCTGGGCCCCAGTCGGCGGGTGTGGGAATGAAGCCGGGCTTTGTTCAGCTCAGTCTGGGAGCCGCGTCGGCCCCAGGACAGCCGGGAGGGGCGGGGGCCGGGGTCTTTCCATTGCCCAGGCCCCTGCGGCTCTGCCAGTGCATAGGGCGTTTCCTTTCCGTCACCTTGCTCCGTCTTGGGGCCAGGGTTATTTCCATTTTGCTGATTGGTAAATTGAGGCTCGGGAGAGGGCACCTGACACAGGCACACCTGGTGCGTGGGAAAGGAGGGACCGAGCCCTCTGTCTGTTCCCAGCTCCTGGGCTCCAGGTAGCCTGGGGCTGGGGTCAGTGTGAAGGGCGGAGCCCAGCCAGCTCGTTCTCGGCCCCAGGAGGGAGGGCCCAGCTCGGGCAGAGACGCGAGGGCCGGGCGCCAGCGAGGAGGCCCTGGCGCGGCCGGCCCGGGGCAGCTGCCATCCTCGGCCTGCGCCGAGGAGCTCGGAAGGTCCTGAGAGTGCGGAGCGGAGTGGGGCGCGGTGGCCCCGTGCCCTCCCGGGATGGAGTCTCGCCCTGTCTCAGTGCTGGGGCCCAGGCGTCTGCAGAAGCCTAATGAGCTGGCGGGTTGGGTTTGATTATTTTTCTTTCAGAGAGGCAGCGCCTTCCCACCCGCCAGACAATAAGTGCTCCACTGTGTCGGTCCAGCACTTGCCTGCGGCTGCTTCTCTGCACCCAGCCAGGCGCCCACGGAGACGCAGGATCTCGGGGTCGAGGGAGGGAGCTGTCTCCTGCCCCCTTGCTAGCTGAGCTGTCCTGCGCTAATGTGATGGCCTCCCCTCTCTTGGTCCTGATTTCGTTCTTTGTGAGATGTGGGCAGGGGCCGTCCTCTGCGTCACGGGATTAGAGGGGATGGGGGCTCTCCATCTGGTAGGTAACAACAGAAACTAGCCGCTGATGTTGCAGGCCTGTCATCCCAGCACTTGGGAGGCTGAGGCAGGAGGATCGCTAGGAGTTGAGGCCAGCTGGAGCTACATAGTGAGTTCAAAACAAGACCGCCTGTATTGTCCAGCGGGCGTCAGTTATGGGCAGATGGGCAGTCTAAGGTCACAAAAGGCTCACAGGGCAGGGTGTGTTCTGATGTCCAGGGATGTAGCCCGTCCTGGCTGGGTCCTTGGACATCGGAAAAAGCAGCTCGCCATCACCCCCTCAGTCAACAGGAGCCGAAGGGGCAGGGGCAGGGGCAGGGGCAGGGGCAGGGGCAGGGGCAGGATGTGGCCTTTGGCCTTAGGGCTTGCCTGGAAGTGAGTGAACAGCCTCACAATACAGCAGGTCCAGCCGGGGATGCCGTGGCACATAGCTGTCATCTCAGCTCTTTGGGAGGCTGAGACAGGAGGATGGCAACTTTGATCCCAGCCTGGGCAACTTGGTGATTTAGTAAGCTCCTATCTCAAAATGAAAAATAAGAAAGGGCCAGGGATGTAGCTCAGTGTGAAGACCCTGGGTTCAATCCCCAGGGCTGTCATCAGAAAGGCAGGGCTTGAACACGGGCCTGGAGGACTCCTTCCATCACAGCCCCTGGCCAGGAGCAATCTCCATCTGTGGGACAATACGCCTTGGCCTTGAGGTCCCTGGTGCCCTCCGCCTGCCCGCCCGTCCTCCCTGTTGCCTCCCTCCGCAGCCTGCTGCGCTAGTGGTGGGAGGCGGTGTTAATCCGGCCCCGCTGAGCTGCGACACGCCTGTGTGGGAAGGCAGGGGCTTCCTGGAATCTCCCCAGCCTTATCTGCGGAGGGCTGCCCTGAGCCGCCCGCACGGGCAGAGGTTCAGGGACATGTGCGGTTGGCAGGTGGCAGCTCATCCATCAGCCCCCTGTCAGCCCGAGCCCCAAGGCGCCTGTGAGCCAGCCAGGGCTGGGGCGGGGGCTGGGGTGCAGGAGGTGGAGGGGCACGAGGAGGAGGAGAGGGCGTTGGTGCCCCGGGCAGGCTGCCCGGTCCCGTGGGTCCCTACATCTGTCCTCGAGTCCCGAGGCCTGTGAGGGGGGAGAGCGGGGCCAGGGATGCCGAGTGCGGGCGGCTGCCCTCCCTCCCTGGGGCAGGCTCACGGGCTGGGGCAGCCAAGCCCGGCCTCACCACTCTAACGGGCCGGGGATGGGTGGGCGGAGGCTGGGGACCGCCTGTGAGCAGCTCTTTCTCACGGACAGAGCGACAGAGAGAGGAACCTGCAATCCAAGTGTTAAATCCATGGCCCCGGGCAAAGCGCCATTAACTCTGAATCATCTCTTTTGTTGCATTAAAAAAAAGAAGAAAAGAAGAACCGTAGGGAGCCACGTGGAGGTGTGCAGGCTGCTGTGCTCTGGGGCAGGGCTGGCGCCCGTCCAGCGGAGGAGCCGCCCACAGCCCTCCGAGGGGTACATAAGGAGCCCCAGGCCGGGGGGCGGCCAGGCCGCCGAGACCTGAATCCTCCTCAGCGCCATCCCCTGCCCTCCTCTCTCGTGCCTGCCGAGGACCGACGCCCGCTTCCTGGCCATGGCGACCACGTTTCTGCAGAGTTCTTCCTCCACCTTTGGGGGCTGCTCCACCCGAGGGGGCTCGCTCCGGGCCGGGGGCGGTGGCGGCTTTGGTGGGGGCAGCCTGTATGGTGGAGGTGGAAGCCGCGGTATTTCAGCTTCTTCTGCTAGGTTCGTCTCCTCGGGGTTGGGAGGGGGCTATGGGGGTGGCGCGGGCTGCGGCTTCGGTGGCGGGGCAGGTGGCGGTTTCGGCGGAGGTTTCGGAGGTGGTTTTGGAGGCGGCTTGGGTGGGGGTTTCGGTGGCGGCTTTGGTGATTTTGGCGGTGGTGATGGCGGCCTCCTCACTGGCAACGAGAAGGTGACCATGCAGAACCTCAACGACCGCCTGGCCTCCTACCTGGACAAGGTGCGCGCGCTGGAGGCGGCCAACGGCGAGCTAGAGGTGAAGATCCGAGACTGGTACCAGAAGCAGAGCCCGGCCAGCCCGGAGCGGGACTACAGCCGCTACTTCAAGGAGATCGAAGAGCTCCGGGACAAGGTGAGCTGCACCTGCGGGAGTGCGGGGCACAGGTGGCTCCCAGGGCAGGCTGGGTGCTGACCGCTGACCGCCGGCTGGGGGCGTCCTTCCTGCTCGGGGGAGGGCCGCTGTCCTGTGATCGCCGCACACTCGTGGTGCGCAGCTGTTCCGCTCAGCGGTGCCGGCGAGGGCGCAGGTGGGGAACGCTAGAGAGCCCCTGCCCCGGCCCCTGCCCACTGCGGGAAGACTGAGCCTCGATGTGGCCTCCTGCGCCCTGAACGCCAGGACCACATGCCTGACCCTTCAAGGATAGCTTCCACGCAGAAAGCGCCTTCGGGATGTAGGGGACACCTGGGGACTCACTGCCCTGTCCTCCCTCTCGCTTGTGGGCACCAGCTTGCGAGGCTGACTGGGCGTCCCGAGAGCTCCCTTGTCCGGGCTCATGTGCCCACCCCCGGACATGCCAGTCCCCCTCGGGCCCCAGCCACTGCCGCCTCCATGGTCTCCCACTCCCTAGAGACAGGGGTAGCCCCTGAAGCTACAGTGAGGGTGGCCTGGGGCCAGGCTGGGTGTCTCTGGGTCTCTCTGAGCCATGGTGCAGAGGTGGACGAGGCTGTTGGTCAGGGTTCCGGCCTTTGGCTCAGGGCTGGGAGCAGCGGGGGCGCCAGTCCTTGGGCACAACTCTCTGCTTCCCGCAGATCCTGGCTGGTGCCATCGACAACTCCCGGGTCATCCTGGAGATCGACAATGCCAGGCTGGCTGCCGACGACTTCAGGCTCAAGTGAGCACCCTTGCGCACCCTCCCCCTCCGACGTTGCCCTTTTACTCGGCTTCCTGGCCTGCTCAGCGCCCAGACCCCTTCACCTGGCCCCTCCCGACCTCCTTCTGTCTTCCCAGGTACGAGCATGAGCTGAACCTGCGCCAGACAGTGGAGGCCGACATCAACGGGCTGCGCAGGGTGCTGGACGAGCTGACCCTGGCCAAGACCGACCTGGAGATGCAGATCGAGAGCCTGAACGAGGAGCTGGCCTTCCTGAAGAAGAACCATGAGGAGGTGAGCGGCTCAGGGGCTGCGGGACAGGGGGAAGACTGGGCCCAAGCGCTGCTGCATAGCTGGCCAAGGGTGTGGACATGCTGTCCCTCTGAGAAAACCAGACAGGCGGCGGTGCTGTCCTCCGGGGATGGGGACCGAGGCCAGGCCAGGTGTGAACTCTGCCTCCTGAGCTTCCGGCTGTCTCAGGGCCTCCCTCGGTGGGACAGAGAGCAGGAGAGAGATCTACACACCCACAGGACCCGTGTGACCCAGCCTCTTCTTGTGCCACGAGAGGCAGGGGTCAGGGTGGGCGTGGTAAACCGAGGTCCCATCCTGGGTGAGGGATAGAGCTATGACTGGGTCCTTTCTAACGGGCCTCCCTGCCCCGCAGGAGATGAAGGAGTTCGGCAGCCAGCTGGCCGGCCAGGTCACCGTGGAGATGGACGCGGCCCCGGGCGTGGACCTGACCCGCGTGCTGGCCGAGATGAGGGAGCAGTACGAGGCCGTCGCGGAGAAGAACCGCAGGGATGCCGAGGCCTGGTTCTTCAGCAAGGTGGGCGGCTCCCCCTCTCCCGCCCCCCACACCCTGCCAGGGCCCCCTCCAGGTTCTCTGAGAACTCTGGTGGGGCTCATGCTGCGTGTGTGTGTCCCACAGACGGAGGAGCTGAACAAGGAGGTGGCCTCCAACACAGAGATGATCCAGACCAGCAAGACGGAGGTCACGGAGCTGCGGCGCACGCTGCAGGGGCTGGAGATCGAGCTGCAGTCGCAGCTGAGCATGGTACCCGCCGCTCCCACCAGACTCCCCACCTTGCGCCCTCTGCGGCTTCCTGTGTAGCCTGATGTGCCCGTTTGTGACTCTGCCCCCTCCAGAAAGCCGGGCTGGAGAGCTCGCTGGCGGAGACGGAGTGCCGCTACGCCACGCAGCTGCAGCAGATCCAGGGGCTCATCGGGGGCTTGGAGGAGCAGCTGGCCCAGCTGCGCTGCGAGATGGAGCAGCAGAGCCAGGAGTACAACATGCTGCTGGACATCAAGACGCGGCTGGAGCAGGAGATCGCCACCTACCGCAGCCTGCTGGAGGGCCAGGACGCCAGGTAGGCACGGGGCGCTGTCTGGGGCCGGAGTGCGGGGTCAGCTCACAGGGACAGCAGGGCAGTCCCCAGACGCGGGCCCGGGGTCTGGACTAGGAGCTGAGGTACGGACTCTGCACACTTCTGTGGTAGGCTGTGCTTCTTTTGCAGTGGGGGAGCTGGGGGTGTGGTCTCTAGGGTTTAGAGCTCGGATGAGGAGCTCCAGAGCAGCAGCTGCCTGCAGTGCTCTGAGGTCTGATGAGCCAGCGGGATGTTCAGCCCCTACGGAGCCCGGCGAGAGGTGGGGCGGGGCTGGAGGGGGCTGCATGGCCACCCACGGCTCCCTTCAGGAGGATGGGTGCCTCGGCCCTCTGCTGACATCTGCTTCCCTCTTTCAGGATGGCTGGCGTCGGCACCCGCGAAGGTAGGAAGGCTTCCCTCCGCCTGCGCAGGTGGGGTGGGGAGTGGAGTTGTGGGGTGCAGGAGAAGAGGAAAGAGACCAGACATCCCTGGGGGCTGGGGAGCCCCTCCCTGGACGCACGCTTCCCCAGGGGCGTCTCCTGGGGCCTGAGAACCCTGCGGGGTGAGCAGGCTGTGTTCAGGGCTGGGCTCCGGCCTGGCCCTGCCTTTATGCCCAGAGGGTGAGAGGCCCCGGCTGTGCCCGCTCAGGTGCAGCTCAGCTGCAGCCTAAAAGCAGCACCTGGGCTCACCTCGGGCAGCACCTGGGCTCACCTCGGGCAGCCCAAGTGATTGAGGAGTAACTGAGTAATTCTACGCCCGGCCTCCTGCAGCTTGGAGGACGCTGGCCAGTGCCCCTCCTCCGCCACTTTCCCCAGAGCCCAACCTGGGTCCTGACCGCCATGGGAGCCTGAGGAGGGGTCCCCAGGCTCAAGGGTGCTCCTTCTTTCTGTAGCCGTCCTGGGAGGCGGTGGCAGTGGCGGTGGCAGCAGCAATTTCCGCATCAAAGTGGAGGAGTCGGTGGACGGCAAGGTGCTTTCCTCCCACAAGAGAGATGTCTGAGTGCCCCGCACAGGAGGATCGGCCCCCGCCACTCCTGTCCCCCAGGGCCGAGTGGGGGACTGGCCAGAGTGGGTGGGAGGCGGCCATCCTCCGGTCCCTGTCTTCAGAGATGCCTGGCTGACGCATGTCCCCTGGTCCACAGCTTTCTGTGCTCTCTGTCCCTGCCCTGCACTCCCCACCTTCTTTGGGGTGCAAGCAGCAGCTGGCTAGGGTCATGGCTCCCGCGTGCCGCATCTGCTCCCACAATAAAGTTTTGCTTTTCCTTTCACAAACATCCTTTGGCACTGTTGCAGTACTCTTGCTGGGGGGCCCTGGGTCCCTACGCTGACTTCTTCCCACAAGGAATTCGTTCTTTGGAGCATCAGGGCCCTGAACCCTGGGGCAAACCCAGCACTGTTCTTCCGCCTGACTCTCCCCGGGGACCCACAACGTGGGGCTGGCGTGGTCCCTAGGGCAGGCTGGTGCACCCAGCCAGAACGCCGCAGGGCTGATGATTGTGAGCCCAGGGACCGATGGCGCCGAGGTGCGGGGCTGGCACTGCGTTGGGCACACTTGTCCACACTTCCATTTAGTACCACTGTCGCTGGCCAGGGTCAGGAGAGGACCCCGGAGCTGGGGAAGTGAGCACTTGCCCAGGTGACAGTAAGCAGCAGGGCTGCCAGGCCTCACAGACCCCCGGACCGGGGCTCATTCTGGGACCCCTGGCCATGCCCTCCACAGCCCACGCGGGACCTGCCTGGCTTCTGCTGTCACCTGTGTGCTGCCTGGGCCACCCTCCTTCCTAGCCTGGCGGGGTGGCCGGCCGGCGTCCATCTCTGCCCCCTATAGAGCTGAAGCTGACACCTCCCAAAGAGTACTTGAAGCACCCAGCGGGGAGACACTGACCCCAGGAAGCCCTCCCTGATTTTCCCAACTCCTTCCCCTCCAGTCCTCCCGGTCCCCAGCATCTCCCCATCTGTGTCTCCCCAGTTGGAGCGCCAATGTTCACCCCCTCCTGGCTGTGGCCTCTGATCTGGGGCAGGATTCTCTGAGCTCCAGGATTCATAGCCTGAACAGGAAGGAGGAAGGGAGCTGTGTGAACAGCTGGGCGGGGCCTGGCCTGGGGGCCCTGGGGCCAGGAGGGGGACAGGAGGGAGAACCAGTTTGGTAGCGCTGCTGGGAAGAGCAGGTGGGGCCTCTGCTCTCCGGAGAGTCTGACTTTGCTGAGAGGGTCGCTGTGTGCCCTCTGGGCACAGCCCTGCCCCCGGCCCTGGGGTCCTCATGGGGAGACCGGAGGAGAATGGCTCCTGGGCACACAGCCGGGAGGTCCCGGGGTCACTCATGACAGGCAGGCCTGGGCCGGGCACCCCACAGGCGGGCTGTGGTGGAAACCCAGGCCTGGAGAGGTTGAGCTCACAGCTAGAAACGGGGTCCCGGATGGCTCCCTCCGATCCAGATCCTGGATTTTTCCTTGATGTCCCGAGGTGGCTAAAGCCACAGCACCTCCCTCCCTGTCTTCCTGCCTTCCTTCTTCCTTTCTGTCCTTTGCCTCTCTGTTCCTTCCTCCCTGTGCTGGGGGTGGAGGCCTGGGCCACACACACACACAGCTGCACCCTGGCCCCTGCACCCCTTTCTTTGCAGGCCGTGCTGATCTGAATCTGGGGCAGCCTATTCAAGTGTAGTCAGCCTTTGCCACCAAAAGCACCATGCTCACAGCTAATCTTGCCTCCCCGGGGCGTGGGTTAAGCTCACTCATGGGCCGCTGTGTCCCCCACGTCCCGGGACTGGCCCGGCTCTGATCTAAGCCCCTGGCAGCCTGCTGGCTGCTCTGCCTCCTGGTCCCCTGGGCCTCTTTGGAGAGGTCTCAGGCCTCTGCAGAGCCGCCTCTAGTTTCCAAAAAAAGCATCTTCAGCAGGCCCAGGGAGGCCACACCTGCACGCACTCTCTGGGTGCAGACCCCGGGTTGGGGTAGGAAGGGGAGCCGCCTCTGTGTCTGCAAAGTGCCCGCTGCTGCCGGGATCCCTGGACAGAGAGGGCCCCGGCCTGATCCTGGAGTGAGCCGCCTGCGCCCGGGGAAGGTGCACGCCTTGCAGAGCCCTTAAATCCTCTGGGCAGAGCCGGCACCCCTTCTGCCACCCCGCCACACCCCGGCTGAGGCCAGGCTCCGTTTCCAGCCAATCCGGCTCCCGCATGCTGCCTCAGCCTCCCCACAGAGGGTGGCTTTGGGCCTGGAGATCAGGTCCTGGGAGTGTCCCCTGCTCTAGCCGGGCTTCCCAGATCAGGCACAGGGCAGCCTGCCACCGCCTCCCCTCCCCGGGTCTCAGTTTCCCCACCTGTAAACTGTGCAGGCTGGCTGGACAGGGTGACTGCAAGGTGCCCGTGGGACCCTCTGTGCCCTGGGTCTGTGACGGGGCCCCGTGGGCTCGGCTACATCGCAGCACAGGTGCTTAGGAGTACTTGAACCTGCTCCTCCCGGGCTCCCCTGCCTGAGATGTGGCTCTCAATGGTTTGTTCTGTCGGGCGTGTGCCCGCTGCACGGGCCGCGGGCAGCACAGGGAGGATTAGCTCAGCACAACAGCTCTTATCCCGGGACCGGGGCTGCGGGGCCCCGCTGGCTGTCCCTCCCGTTTGCCGGTCTTGTCACCTGCCAGAGGAGCCAGAGCGACCCGGAAACTGCCGCTCAGACCATAGCCAAGGGCTCCCCTGTGCTCAGAGCAGAATCTGGAGTGACATTCAGCAAAGATCCTGTCTTCGGAGGACCTAAGGCCAGCAGGGGACACGAGATAGGAAAGCACCGAGTGTCATTTGTCCGGTCACTGTGGGCCCCGCGTCAGCTGCGAGGATCGGAGAGAGAAGGAAGCTGGGCTGTGCGTCATTACAGGGCGGGGACCTGGAGGGCTCTCGGACCGGCCACCCAGCCACACCGAGCTCGTGTTTCTTCCCGGGTGAGGGAGGTAACCGGCCCCGGGGCGCCCTCCAAGTGCCAGGTACTGAGAGCCTCAAGTCCAAACTCCTCTGACGCCTGTCTCCCAGCTGCTGCCAGGGAGGCTCCGGCAGGTTGTGCAATCGAAGGTCACACAGGAATTTGGTGGCAGGTGGGGACTGCAATTCAGGTTCACCTCATCTAAAGCCTTGGTTGATCTGCTCGGGTTTTGGAGGGGCCCTGGGTGATGACAAAGGGATTTCGGGGCTGGGACGGCCGACGTGTAAGGACCTGGGGCTTTGGGCCGTGTGCGGTGATTTCTGTGGTATCAGGCCGGCCTCTCCGGGGAGGGGCTGCCAAGAAGGCCGGGCCGGTTGTCCGGGGAGTCTGCTGCAAGAGAGACCCCTCCAAGTGGGCATCCGGAGTCCTTCAGGAGGCGGGGTCAGCTGCCCTGAGCCCTGGGCCCCTTGTGCTCCGGGGAGGATGCGGGGAGGAGCCTGACCCCACACGGAACTCCCCATGCAGGACAGGACCGGAGGGGACGTCCCCCGGCTAACTGCGGCTCTGGTGTGCTGCGCGGAGGGCTTCCCTCCCCTGAGCCCCGACCCTGGAGCCCAGCCCGGGGCACACAGTGCTCAGGCTGGCCTGGGGTGTGGGCCACGGACCAGGCCTGGGGTGCTGGGAGGATCTGAAAGAGGACACTCTTGCCTGGGTGGGAGTGGTGCTGTCACTGCCTGAAAGTCGCTTTATAGGCAGCAGCTAGGCTGCAGACCCGGAGCTAGAGGTTCGAATCTTGCCTTTGACGCAGTTGATGCAGTTGAGCTCGTAAATTTGGACAGTGTATTTCACCTCTCTGGGCCTCGGTTTCCTCGTCTGATAAAAGGGTATAAAAACAGTCAGGTTGTTCTGAAATAAGCCCGTGCAGGCAGTGTCTAACAGAGTTCAGTGAACGTCAGTGAGGGTGATTTTTATCATCTCTCGGCACACACAGGCTGTGGTTGCAGCAAAGCTAGACGGCTTTCCTCTCCCCGTGCGCAGCACAGAGCACCTCTGTGACCCGACACGTGGGTTTCTCCCCGCGGCCACAGTTCTCTGACACCAGTGGGGTATCCACAGGTCAGTTCCATTCCCGCACCAGGGCGAGGACAGGCGCCCCAGGGTGGCTCCCACGTCCCATGCTGACTGCCACCTCTAAGTTCTCGGCTGGCCGCAACATCTGTCCAACTTGGCCACTGTCACAGGTTCTGTGACCCCCTTCCTCGGTTCAGTTGTCACACAAGTGCACTCCGTGAGGAATTCAATCTCCAGCGCTCCCCCTTTCCTGGAAGGTGGGGGAGGGGGGGGAAGCTGGAGGTCATTCTGTGACCAGCAGCCGACACCAAGCAACACCTCCTTAGAACCAGAGATGCTCTGTGTCCGGGAAATTCCAAGGGGTTCGGAGCTCTGGGGCCAAAGACCAAGCGTTAGAACACAAGCTGCCCTCAGTGTCCCGTGGCTCATGAAATTACTAAGGGTTTTGGGAGGCCTATGCTGGGAGCCCAGGCTGAAGATCCCAAATAGACACGTTTTATAGCAAACATGGTATCACTGAATAAAATACCCAGCAGTCACAGCAAGGCTGCCAAGGCACCAGGAGCTGGGGGAGAGGGAGCCAGAGCCCAGAGGTAAACTTATTTTGAGACCACATCTCACTATGTTGCCCAGACTGGCCTCAAACTCATGGCGATTTTCCTGCCTCAGCCTCCTGAGTGCTGGGATTGCAATCTTGTGCCACCACACCTGGCAGCCCGATGTGGATGTTTTGATTTCGTGATGTCCTTAGGCAGGTGACTTGTCTTCCCTGTCACCTCAGCTGTCTCATCTAAAACACAGAGCTAAAAACCCTTCCTCTTTTCTTTAATTTTTAATTTTATTTGCACATGTTTGCAGTTCCTGTAGTTCCTATCTTTGGGAAAGGTTACACGTACGTGTGACACCTTGCTTCTTTCTTCTTTTTATTTTTGTCTTTTTGAGACAGGGTCTCGCTATGCAGTTCAGGCTGGCCTTGAGCTCACTTTGTAGCCCAGGCGGGTCTTGAACTTGCAAGGATCCTGCTGTCTCAGCCTCCTGAGTGCTGGGATTACGGGCGTGTGCCACTACACCTGGCTCTTCTTTGTAAAATGCCCTTTCCCTCCCCTGCTCCCCTCTCCTCCTCCGGTTCCCCTGCCCATTTTTCATCCTTGCTGCTATCATTTGTCCTAGCTCATGTTATGGCGCATAGGGTTTGCACAAATTGGGTCTACGGGCTTCCTGTGCATGGCACATCTTTATTACTCATTTCCCCTCCTGCTCCCTCACCCTTGTTCCCTTGGTCCACTTTCCAGGTGCAAGAG